AGCTACAGGTGAGTGTGAGACGTCTTCCTTTTTGTTTATAGGAAAGAGAGTTAGGTGGGAAAAGTGATATCTGTCCCTTCTTAGTTTAACCTAGCTTAGCATAAAGACTGGAAGCTGGGGGAAACTGCTAACCTGGCCTACCAGAACCACTAAAATCTCTAAAGGTATTTTTCATCTAACTCTTCCAGAAAGTGAGAAAGCATATTTTAATTTCATCAAACAAATATAAAACCGTTTAGATTACTTGCTAGCTAGCTAACTAACATACGAACTAGCCAGTTTTTCACTGAGAAATCAATGCAGTTTAGTCCACAACACAATCCCTCCAGGAGGTTGAGATCATAACAATGAACTCAAATGCAGCCAATCCCTGTGAATTCCGTGCGACAACTTTTCCACAAATTTGACCAATCATTGTTGTTTCCTGCATAAAACATTGAGTCACTTCGTTTCTAGTTGTGAAGATACAGACCGTGCAGACACGTGTATTTCTGAGCCCTCCAAACAGTGCGATTTTAATCTCACTGAAACAAGTTTCCCAAAAAAACGCAACATGCATCGCAATTTTCTATAAAAAAGCTGCAGTGAAATAAAACATTTTACTCCGCAAAAATTTATAGTAGTACAACTTTTTGTTTGAAAGGAGAAAATGTTGTGTTGTGACACATTAGTCATGTTGAGACAGTGTGAGAAAATAGCACTGCACATTGCGGAGAATAACACCTGTAACAATGCTCAGTGTTTCCAGCAATGGTGACTGTGGTAGCCTGAGAAAATGCTTTATCACCGTTCACAGCAACCAAACATGCAAAGTAAAACCAAACGAAACCTTTTACATACTGACCATTTCCTTTACAGCGAGGTAGCCTGTGTTCAGTGCAGCGTGTCCAGATGCTTCATTTCATGGTCTCGGGTAAAAGAAACCATGTTGATTGTTGGGTGGACGATGCAAACCACAGTGTCTGTGGTCAAACACAGACAAATTGTACACCCAACCATCCTCCCAACTCTTCCACTGCTTCCACCTTTTGGCTCTGAGGTTCACACAATTACTTTGGTCGCTTTGGAGAAATGACAGATGCTGTTGCTTTATGCTGGTTGTTGTTATGGCTGCAACCAACTATATCCGATTTTGGCTGTTCAATACAAAGAATCAACTATTTGTTCCTTTTTTTGTTCAGTTCAAAGCCACACTGAACTCTTATATGAGCAGATAACACTGCTACATTAGTCTCATGTCTTGAAACTGTGTTGAAACTTGAGACTTCCACACCGTCAGATGAAGTAAAAGTGTGCATCCTGCTCATAGTTCGGTTATAAAATCCCAAAGCCAACACGAAGTGTCTTTGCACTCGGGCTGTTGACAGCTCTGTTAGCCCAAGAGTCACAGTTTACGGCAGTAGTGGAGGTTGCCTCACCGTCTGGTTCAGCCGACTTCACTGACAGTCATCACCAGGGCAGAGAGCGTCCGAGCAGCCGCTGCCCTGCTGTCCGGAGTAACGCTGCCCGCCATTAATCACTCTTCACTTCCAAGTTTTGTGGTTTGTGGTAATTTTGAGACTTAAGCATACTATTCTGTAGTGATTATACTTTGTGACACTATAATGGCTTGTTGTTTATCACTCAGCTGTGTCTGAACAGACGCACTCACATGAAGAGTGACAGCCATATTCAGCCGGCTGCATTTAATTGTTGCTCTGCCTCCACAGTCTTCAGCTAGCAGCAGAAAGCTGCACATTGCTGCTCCACAGGCCTTCAGGCACAGCCAGAGGCTTCCCTCAACACGCTCTGCTGGTGTCGGGCTTCACTTGTGGTAGCCGGCATGATGAGATCAGTATCACACACAAATCAAAACGCTGTGGAGGTCAGTGGGTTTCTGTGTCGGGTTTTTTGTCACCGCCTCAGAAAGGGTAGGACAGCTGGTTTAGGGGGTTCAGCAAGGCGGGGTTTGAGGTTGGCGAGGGGCCATGTAGGACTTTGGTTAAAAAAAAAAAGCAAGGTCGCACCTGTTGGAGTGACTTATGATGAACAGCGAAAAGGTTTTAGAAACGTGCAGTGAGTTCAAATTCTTTTAGCACTGAAGCCAATAATTCTAAGGTTGGAAATACATCAGCTTCCTTCACAAACTAGTGTTTTTAAAGTGTTTTACCACCATTGATTTGCAGCTTGAGCCTATGTTGTTTTGACCTGAACCTACCATGTCCAGATAAAGTATCAGGGAGCAGTCGGTGGTCTTGATGCGTGTGTTTCTGGTTTGGTTATTTTTGGTTACATATATCTCTTCCTCTCTCTGAATATGCCAGTTGTTTGCTGCAATGCTGGTCATGTGTTGCATGTAGATACACAATGCCCAGTAAGAAGATGACAGGTTACGTTAAGTTCAGGCCTCACTTAAAGGCCTGTGCAGATCTCTAGTCTAGTGACAGATCTGGTCCAGGCCTGGGGTTTATTTGCTCTTACAGGAGTTAGACAGTTAAACATCAGTTTTGTCTCTTTGTATCCAGTCCAAGAAAAGCTCCATGATGCGTTTAGCCGAGCTTAGCACAAAGATGGTACACATGCAGGTAAAAGTCTGGTTTCTATATCAAAACTAACAAAATATTACATCTTCCATGCTGTTTACATGATTGTTGTTTGTTCACTTAGTTAAACTTTCACTTTTACTTATTAAGTGTGAAAAGAACCTTTGACAGACTTATGTTAACCCATTTCCTGCCACTAGTCTTTGTGTTAAGCTATGCTGAACATGTCTTTTAACAGGTTGTTACTGGAAAAAAGTAATGATTTGGCTTTAAGACACACAGTTGCCAGTTTAAAAATGGATTGATACTTAGATAAGGAGCCAAACTTCTGCATATTAAAATCAATAAGCTGGTGCCACAGTGGTACGGTTGTGTATATACAGTTTTTACTACATGTGTCTGTGACGCAGTGCCTCGCTTTCATGCAACCAGTGGTGGCAGAATGCATTTCAAAGTGGGGGGACTTTTAATCTCAGCCTAGCCGACCGTTTTTATAAAAATAAAATATGTGAAAGAATCAGTGGCGCCAATAAATTTAGAAAAAGCCTCCCATCCTCTGGGTGCTCTCAGTTTGAGGTTGTACAGTTTTACGTGGCTGTGATTATCATTAAGGTCACAATAGGTCGTTTTATACAGTGAGGTCAAGTTTAAAAAAATGGCTACTGTCATGACACATTAGTACAATTGGGCTCATTGAGTCTTAGCTTTCCAGTCATATCCTATTATGCAGTTCCAACACTGTTTATGGACCCCAGTATGCAGAAATATTCAAGTGCACTAGGCGACAATAACAATACTGCATACACAAACTGCATTGGATTAGCATAAAGTGGACATGTTTGTAAAGGAGGGGCTCGGAACCCATTTTCATTCAGATATCTAGAGGTCAGAGGTCAAGGGATCCCTTTTGAAAATAGCTGTGACAGTTTTTCCATCACTAGTATTTTGGAGTGTTTTTTACCAGCTTTCCCAACAAGCCAGGTTGGTACCAATGGATGCTTTTGGTCAGGGGTCTCAAGGGGTCGTTTCCGGCCCTCCATCCTACCCCCTTCTGACCAGTGACATGATCATCAAATTATATGATATAAGAATGTATAGAAACTGCTGTTTGCATTTTATCTGTTAAATATGATGTTAAAAAAGGAGTGGCTCTCCTATGAGATGTCATTACCACACATGACTTTCACTAATAATACGTTTATTAATGAGCACTTTCATTGTTCAGTATATATTTAAAACATATTTAGAGTTTAGACTGTTTTAGTCCTTTCTGTATTCTCAGAGTTTAGTTTGCCTCATTCTCTCACCTGTTCTTTATCTACTGTGCTCAGCCAGATTGCCAGCACTATTGCATAACATCTAAAATATTACGTAATCTGGATAAATTAAAGTTCACCTTTCAAAAGTGGGACTTCGTCTGTCGTGATTTTCAGCCATGTTTTTGAAGAGGGGAGAATAGGACGCGAGCAGTTACATTAGGTCGTTCTTGCCAAAGTAGGCTGAGTGTTGGAAGTCGGCCTAAATGTTTGAGCCAACCCTGCTTATCAGTCACATTATCAACATTCAAAGGCGTCCACAAATAGCCATTTGGCAAATATTGTCCTGCATCTGCTTTTTAAAGCCTTCCAACCAAGTGCCAGCACTGAACAACAAACCAATCTGAATACATTCACAAGAGAAATATCCTCACAAGCAGGAATATCAACCATGAACTGGTCGTCCCCTGGGCCCCAGGATGTGACGTAGGTGGATACAATATCAGGCTCTTTGTATGCACACTGCAGAGGCTGAGCCATGTGCCAGGCCAGCTTTCATTTGGTGCAGCGGTGGGGTCGCTGCGGCCGGGCTGAGGCTGCAGGATTCCCGAGGGCCGAGAGGAAGCAGCGACTTCACAGTGGATCATCTTCAGCTGACAGCGCAGCAACCGCACTGTCGAAGCAAGCAGAGCCACACTTTTTTCTGTCCCAGCTGTCAGCAGAGGGATTAACTGTGTGTGTGTGTGTGTGTGTGTGTGACACCAAAGCACCTGCATCTCTGGATGTGATCAGTGGAAATCATCCAGTGGCTGGGTGACGGATGGAACGATCAATGACCTACATAAACAAACAAGACAACCAGGAAGAAGATTGGCTATTTCTATGAAGTTCTTCTTAATGGCTGCCACCGGGTCGGATTCCTCTTGAAATCAATGAAGGCAGAGGAAACACTATGGCTTCTGTCCACAGGGGGCGCCAGAATCAACAAAACATTTAAATAGCAAAATATTCTTGAAGAATATTGGTTTTGGCAGGTGAAAACAGGTCACTATTTTCAAGAACTGCCATCATCATCCATCAGTGTATTGATCTCATTGACAAATGTGTAATATTTCAGACATATCGTGTTTAGTTTGGGATCAGGAAACAAAGTGAAGATTAAGGTTTATGAGGAATGGAAAGTATAATAATACAAAAATGTGTTTGTGTTTTTCTCTTACAGCATAAAGAAAGCCCAGCTCCCCGTGAAGGTTTGCCGTTCGGCCGTGCAGCTACACATGCGAGGAAAACCAAAGAACATCACTGTAGAAACCAAACCGGGCCAGGCCCATGCGGATTTCAAGAAGAGCCGAGATGGTTTCATTCTGCTCATCCCCGCTAACTAACAGTCCGCCCAACTCAACCGCCAACAACCGTTTAACCTCAGGACTGCGTCGATTGTCTGAACTGGTCAAAACATCAGTGAGGTTACGACAAAGACAGGGATGTAAATATGTCACACTGTCAGGACTTTGCCTTGAAATGCCTTTTGAAAGATTTTAGAGGTTTTAAAGAGATGCTGGCAATCTGCTTTCTTAATCCTGAGCTGCAGGAATTACAGAATAGTTTAGAGGCAACTTTGAAAAATTAGGAGGTTATTGTGTATGTTGAAGAGACTCAGGACGCCCTACAAACATGTACGAAACTGTTTTTGCTTTGCTGTTGGATAAAATATTTGAAGATGTGCCTTTTTAGAGTTAACAAAACATGAATTAATGCACTTTTTGTCACAATACATTAAGACAATTAAGACAAAACATTCCAGATATATTTTTGTATATTGAGTCGAATTGTGATGAAATGACAGCAATTTTTTTGTGTCTTGTCTCCTGCTGTTGCCTTAAAAAAAAGGGTCAGAAGTAATAAAAAAGGGAGAAACAAGACCGTGGAAGAAAATAAATTATTCAAGATTTACTTTGTGAGTTCTCTGTGTGTTAATTTATCACCACATGAACAGACAGCATGCTGCACTGTGGCTGTGTTCTTCATTATGCAGTGATTAAAATATTTGTTCTCAAATGTGCTTTTGGGGCTTTGAAGGAAAACTAAAGACATGATAACATGAATAAAAGAAGTCGGGAGTCTTTCAGTGTTCAGTGTTTGAGAAGAATTTCCTGTCCAGTCGATAGGACAGAGTATCAGTTAAAGCTTTGGTGTTTGTACCAACAGAGAAAACTGGAACTGGAGTGACGCAGGAGATATTTCCTCTCTCGTCCCTTTGGTGTCCTCTGGATCAGATCAGCTGGTTTGATAAAAACACACACACACACACACACACACACACACACACGCACGGATGCTTTGGATTAAATTTTACAGGATTTCTGAGAATTTCAAAACACGTCACTTTTATACAACAACTAAACAAAATGTCAAAGAAAGTGTCACAGCAGCTGTTTTATCATGAGATTAGTCGGGTAAACACAGGTGTTATCGGTGATACTAGTTAAGGGTTGGTTTCCATTCAGGTCAAACAGAGGCAGGATGCTGCTATTGTTGACTCACTAGGAAAGGTACAATTTAATTAGTATTATTCGTAACACCTATGTTTTCCCTACTATTTCATGTCAAAATGGCTGCTGTGAAAAAGGTCTGTTACAAAAAAATATTTTCTTATCTATTGTGGTATCATTTCAGCCTCCACCCCGATACAACAGAGGAGGATAAAATCTCAGACCACAACTGCTGGAGTATAAACTTTTCCACAAATAATAATAATAATAATAAACTTTATTTATATACAAAAAGTATATAAAAGTGTCCCACATGGCTGGAACCAGGATTTAAACATTTCAGGAGGCAATAAAACAAAAATTAAGTAAGAGAATTTAAATCATATAGAAGTGACATAGAAGAAACAAAGAGAATAAAAGACATAGTAACTAACTAACAATAAAACAGATCAAACATATTACAAAATTAACTGCACTGGAGCAAATAATTTTATATTATACATTATAATACAATAATTGGTAATATACGGTACAACTAAAACTAATATAGTAGATAAGACATGATGGAAAATCATGGGAGAAAAATAATTTTAAAAAGATGTTTTAAGAAGGGATTTAAAAGATGTCACTTAGCTTTAGACAAACGACAGTTATGAAACAGTTGATACCTGAATGAAATGTAATTTATTATTAACAATTAATTAACTGTAATTTATTGTCTTGTTAGAAACTGTGCTTTCTCACTGACATCTGGGAACCCAGGTATCTTGTTGAGCTATTACAGCAGCTTATGGGGGCTAATATTAGCAAATTTAAGGTAAAATATAATGGTTATTACTCAATTCACCATCCCATAATTGTCATTTGTCACAGTGGCCACTGCCGCACTCCACTGATTTATCATCACACTTCAACACTGTTGGAGAAGAGATTTCCTCTTTTCTATTCCACTCATTGTTCATCCTTGTAAAAACCTGGCA